GTGCCGCTACGATTTCTAGGCAAACTGTACGAGCTGCTGCGCGCTCTGCTGCGAGCAGGACTGATCGTCTTTTCAGACAGTCCATGGGCATCGCCGATCGTGATTGTGATGAAAAAGAATGGGCTGGACATCCGGCTCTGCATTGATTACAAGATGGTGAATGCAATCACCGCGATCATGGAGTATGCAATGCCGCTAGTCGACGACCTGTTAACAGATCTCGAGCGCTACCTATGGTTCTGCTCGCTGGATGCAGCAAGCGGCTTCTGGGCGGTCATGATGACCTTACGAGCACGTAAAGTGTCGGCGTTCGTCTGCGCACTCGGACATTTCGAGTGGTTACGCATGCCTTTCGGGTTAAAGAACGCGCCGATGATCTACCAGCGTATGATTGACAATGCACTCTGGGGGTTCGTTCAACCTAAAGGAGGTTGGTTTGAATACTCGGAGAGGATGCGTTTAGCTGAAGAACAGGCCAAGGAACGTCGTGGGCCAAGCGCCGGGAATTCGCTTCAAACGAAGCTCGCGGCAGACCGCGAAGCACCGGTAGAGACCGACCCTGTACTACAACTCGTCAACAGCCCCGTCGCTGACATGTTTACGAACGGGGAGCCAGACGAATCATCGCTGGTACCTGTATTTGGTCGACGGTCGTTTGTGGATGATATTTGCTTCGGTGGCGAGGATTTCGACAGCTGCCTGGCGACGCTGGACCGATTGCTGGCAAGATTTGCACAGTGTCGGATCAGCATTAGCTTCACCGAGAGCATCTTCTGCCAACCCAAGGTGGACTTTCTGTCGCATAAAATTTCGCCAGAAGGTATCAGAGCTGACCCCAAGAAGCTTGCGGCCATCACCGAGCTTTCGTTTCCAACGAGCAAGAAGGGCATGCAGTCGTTTCTTGGAGCGGTTAATTACTACAGTCGCTTCATTCAAGACTTCGCGGTCTACGGTGCAGCGCTGTACCAGCTCAAGGATGAAGACTTTGCCGTTGAAGGCGGCCTTTCAGTGGCACGTCGTTCCTTCGAAAAATTGAAGACGAGTGTTTCACATTCACCCATCCTCAGGCACTTCGATCGGTCGAAAGAAGTTCACGTCATGCTCTTTGCGAATGAATGGGCGTTGAGCACTACGCTAATGCAAGAGCATGAAGGCAAGTTACACCCCGTACGGTTCCTCGGTCGGGTGCTCAAGGAGGCCGAGATGAACTACCATCCTGCTGAGAAGGAAGTTTTGGCGTTACTTCTGCTGTTGAAGATCTGTTACGTCCAGCTGGCAGGAAAGACGCTACATGTCTATACACGATTCTCGACGTTAGAGTGGGTGCACAAGTCGAAGTCTCTCTTCGGACGCGCGGTCCAGTTCGCAGTGCTGCTATAGCAGTGGCACCTGAAGGTGCAGCGCGTGAAGGAGAAGGATGTTGCCTTCGCGCAGCTACTGCAGTCAAGCATCACGAGCTTCGTCGACCTGGAAGACTCGCTCGCGCCGGTGGCACCTCCAAACAAGGGTTCCCCGACTATTCGAATGGACCCCGCGTTGCTGTACGCCAGGCTTTCCCGTAATTACAGCGGATTCGTCATGTCTTTTGACGGATCAGCGAAGACAGAGAAGTACGGTGGCTACGGGAGTTGTTCATGGGTGCTGTGGAGCCTTCCTGAGTGGAAGATAGTGATTGCTGCGAATGCTTACCTCTCGACCACCATGGTGAATGAGACAGAGTACACAGGAATGATTAACGGTGTCAAGGCTGCTATTGCGCACGGTGCCGAGCATTTAGTCATCGTTGGTGACTCAAGGCTCGCGATTCAACAATCACTAGGGGTGATCGCATGCAGGAAGGAAACTTTGCTAGCGCTGCTGAATACTCACAAGGAGCTCACGGTCCAGCTTCGATCAGTTAAATATCTTCACGTTGTACGAGAATACAACGCTGCCGCGGATTCGTTAGCCACTGAAGCGCTGGAATCGAAGGTCAGTCGGGTAATCTTGGCTGAAACTCGTAAGTCGGAATTGGCATCGCTGAATCGCATCCAGGAAATGATCTACGGACCGGATGAAGACTCGGTAGATGTTTCGTCACGTGGAACAGAGCGTCAAGTACATGTACTGTCAGGCAGCGAATCTTCAAAGTGGAAAACTTTCGAAAATTTCGTGGTTGATTACAGCTCACCAAAGTGCGATTATGGTAATATGGCAGTGATGACTCGGCGACAGACGAAAACCAAGAAACGCGTCAGGTTTGCAGATGAACACTCGGAGGATGTCTCAAAATCTCAACTACGGAGAAATCACTACACCACAGTTTAGATCCCTCGGTCCCATCTTCATAATCTTCATAGGCCGGTTCTGGTCCCGCAACATCATCGAGCTCGTCGGCGAAGTTCCTCAAAAGGGACCTGGTCGCCCCGCTCAGCCCCGATGATAGCGTGGCCGTCTCCGGTGTCGCTGCGCCTGGCTCTGGAGCCGGCGTCTTGTCTTCGTAATCTTCATAATCGTGGGCGTCAGGACCGATGTCCGCTTCGTCGTCGAAGCTCACTGAAAGCTCGGTGACGGCTGCAAAGCGTGCAGCCGGGCTTGAACTCTCGTTGCGAGCCCCGCCAGACTTGGCAGGCGTAACTGGTACCGTCGGTTGTCCTTTCGCCATGTTTCTTGTCTTTTTCTTGTTCTTCTTCTCTTGGTTGCTCGTAAAGTGGAAGGCCATACAAACAGTTCACAATGGTCACAATCTGTTCCCGGGTCGCGGCATCAGTTGTGGTGTTGGAAATCCCACGTGAACGCTAGCTACAAATGTAGTTAGGATGTTCCCACAACAATACGTCTACTAGGATAGTAAACGCTCGTTCGGGCGGACCTGGAGATCCCAGTTCTGCCCTTGCACCGGGACAAACTGGACCTTGTAAACTACTTATATAGGCCAACCAGTAAAAATAAGAACACGCTACTAGCACGAGCAAAGCTAGCAGGTGTTTTGAATCCTCGTGGTCCCAACAGCGGAAGGGTACCAGGCACGAGTAAGCCTTTTACGAGATCACCGAGTGTTCAACACTCGGTAAGAAGAATAAAAGGGAGGCAATTCAAGCACTCCCAGTCGTGCAAATAGGCAACAATAAGCCGTCACGTAAAACCTCCCGATAATAATCGGCCAATACACAAAGTCTCTTGGCCTTGCCGGATGAACCCTCGCTACAGAGCTTCGAGTTCACCGACAGGCATAACACACTCAAACAAGCTTGACCTGACGCTTACCTTGAAGCCGGACGTCGCTCTGTGTGCTTGAGTGGAAATTCTGTTCTGCCTTTCGGGTCTATTCCTAATAAGAAGTCCTAATCAAGTATACAAATATCAAGTGAACAATGATCCGATATGGATCTTTTTGCACGCCAAGCGTCGTCTGCACTGTCGCATGAGCATCTTTAACGGTCCGCGCCCTGTCCCAGACGGTTAACGTGTCTTCCAAGGATCGCTGAGTCTTCCGCGAACTCATCCCAACCGCCACTGAGGGTTCGTACCGTAGATGGTCAGCTCTTGGCCGCTGAATGCGAATCCGGCCAGTCCATTATTAATAATAAGGACAGCCTGGATTCAGTGACATACGGACCGTATCCAATATCCGTTGAGAGTTCGGTAGTGACGCCGTCGAATCCCTTGCACCTTAGCGTCACTGTACATCACATGACCGAGGGTTCGTCGCTTGAACATCTTGGGCGGTGTCACGTCTTTGTCGACGGGTGATAATCCGCAACTACGGAGAAATCACTACACCACATCAGAGATAAGCGCCTTCGTACGCAACTAACAGAGCAGATTTTCCTGCTGGTCGCAAGAGTCAAGTCCGGCTGCGGTAAGTGTCCGTAGTGCCAGGCCTCGCTTGATCGACAGAATTATGCCTGCTGGTGGCCACGTTGGCTGAAAGAGCAAGTGATCTCCCACCCGGCAAAGCCAAGAGACGAGAAGGAAGAGGCTGTGTTAAGAACCATGTTGAGGACGAGACGAGGAGTGCAAGAAAGAGCCTTTCAATACCAACAGACCGAGAGAACCAAGCTCCGGTCGCCCTCGCTTACCGGCTGAAGAAGCCCTGGACCCTTCCGTACTGGGGTCAGCAAGGTTATTGCAAATATGCGCGTGAACGCAGACTAGTCGTCGCTCGTGGCTAGTGCTGCTTGAAGAACCCGGTGTACCTACCAACAAAGTCTAGGAGCACAGGGTATATTATCATCCCGGTGCTAGGTCAGAGTCAAGGCCTTCAGGTTGAAACTTCGCCCGAATATTCGTTGGGTCATTGCGGACTTAGTGTGTGCTGTGGGTGGAGAGTATTGGTAGAGTCAAAATCTGGCGTGATCCTACACGACCGGCGTCTTATAGCACTAGTTTTAAAAAAAATCGAAGACAAAATGGATGGTAGCGTGCGCTTGTTCGGCTGGCTTCTGTAAATGTACCGTTTTGAAGGTACATCTGGTTGAGCCACCCCACAACAAAGATACCCTTAGTAGGAATAAATTGTTGGTTCCCGGTGCTACGGGTTCATCTGTATAAAACGACCCCTTTTGCCATTTGAAACAAAAATCGGTGCGCATTTAAAAATTCCAGGTCTATTATCTTATCTCAGTTTTACGCCTGTTCTGTGCGCCACTGCTCCTGTAGATGTACCATTTCGAAGGTACACCTGGCCACAACAAGAATACCCTTAGCTTGGAATAAAATGATGGCTCCCGACGAAGGGCTGTCCTATAAATACGAGGAAGCAATCATGGCGTCTTCTGCCAATGCGTCGTCGCCTCTTCTTCTGCCACGATCTGGGGGGTGCAGCCGCTCGCCTGTCGACTGGAAAGAGCTGCACGCTCTCGCCAGCGAAGTGCAGCGAGCGCTTGACGCGTCCGACAAGATCGAGCCTCATGCCGAGTTCGAGTGCGCTACTTCCACCACCAACTTCCACCAATTTCGTCGCAGTAGTTCTAACAAAGTTCTGCCAATTACACCACCAATACAGGAGCGTGTTTGCGATGTGGCAGGCAGAATTGGGCGACGCGATTAACAAAACCGACGGAGAAAGCGTGGAGGAAATTTCTGCCCCACAGGAGCTCACGTGGTATGCCAGTGCTCACAATTACTGGGACGACGAGGCTAATTGCCCTTTGACAGACAACGGTGTTCTGGGAGGATTCGCTCACGTCTCGGGCGTTGATATTCGCGAATCCAGGCGGTTTCTCAAGCACGTCCGAGACACGGTGAGACCCGAGTGGGTGTGTCATGCTGCAGTGGATTGCGGCGCTGGAATCGGCCGAGTGAGTAAACTGCTGCTGCTGCCTATGTTCGACCATGTGGATATGGTGGAGCAGAGTCCGAGACTGCTGCGAGGTGTATCGCAATATCTAGGAGCTGATGAGACTCTCTGTGTACGCGTGAGAGACTTGTACTGCATGGGGCTGCAGGACTTTGAACCGGCGCCTGCAAGCTACGACCTCATATGGATGCAATGGGTGTTGGTGCATCTCACAGATCTCGATCTTGTGCGCTATCTGAAGCGATGCAAGAAGGCACTCACTCCAAACGGTTTCATCGTGATCAAGGAGAACGTTTTCCAGACACCTGAGCCATATGACCTTGACCGGCAGGACAGCAGTATCACGCGCTCGGCGGTGTATTACAAGAGTATTTTCCAGCAGGCTGGACTAACGTTGCTTGCAGAGCAGAGGCAACGCCACTTTCCGGAAGAACTCTATCCAGTTATAATGTACGCGCTAGCTTAGATGCAAAAAGTTACCGGTAGCGCATTTGACATGGATAGTATCTAAGCCTTAAGCTCTGCCACCACTTTCTCAAGCTGCTTGCGATCAGAGACGTACACAACGTCGTTAGATTTCGCCTTGGGCTTCGTTTTCTTTGTGGTGTCTTTCATGGGCGTCGGCTTTCCAGCCCGTTCAGACGGCGCCAGCGCCAGCTGAGTCGCCTTATCACCATCGTGCTTCTCCGCGATGGACATCAGCTTAGAGAGGAACGGCTTCAACTCTTGCGCTTGCTCCAGTGTCCCGCGACATCCCACGACATAGAGCCCAAGGCGGGCGCGAGAGAAGGACGTCGACGCGCGACGCACATCTCGGAGGTGTCCAACACTCGATTCACTGCGCACCGTAGATAGCAGTACGAAGTCGCTCTGCTGGCCTTGGTAGCGATCCACAGTCGACACTTTGCAGCTCTTCGCACCTTGAGATCGAAAAAGTCGTTGGAGGAGCTCTTTCTGGGCGTTGTATGTTGTGAGAATCGCCACCTGTTCTGCACGATAGCCGATGCCCATCATGTACTGAAAGAGCGCAACGACAAACCGAGCTTCTTCCTCGTTTTCGTAGGCAAAAGGTGTGGACTGACGCTCCTTTGATGTTGCAGAGAGATCAATAAATTGTGCCACGTGAGTGAATCCGGCGTTGCCAGTCTGGTAATCGGACTCGGACTTGACACGAGGCAAATCGCCCAGCGTAGGTTTGGGTCCGGTCGACAAGTCATCATATCGCCACCGGTAGATATCAGCTAACTCGCTCCGACTACGTCCTTGACGGTCAAGCGCAATGTGAGGCACACCAAGACGCAGCAGACGTGTAAAGAGGCTCTGATCGAAGTGTGCGTAGTTCTTCAGTGCCAGCGACTTCACCACCGGGGGTAACTGTTTCGCGTCTCCTATGAGCATGACACGCTTAAGACTTGATGACGTCTTGCTCTCATTGGCCGTTACTCCATTCGAGCATGCCAACAGCAGCGGTACAAGACTGTCCAGCTCGCTAACTTGGGCAGCTTCTTCCATAATGAGACTTCCAAATGTCAGTCCGAGGTCCGTAATCCGGCGGTGGTTTAACGCCGCGTGTGTACATGTCATGGCGACAATGCGAGCATGATGAATCAAATACAAGTCACCTCGTTGTCGCGGGGTCTGGAGGAGTTCGAGAGGCTGTAGACGCCGCAGCTCTGCAAAATACGATTCGATGTCCAAGGAGAACTGACGCAGAGCATCAACAACATTGGGCGCCACTCCCTTCCGCATTGTAAAGAACTCCACAATCGCAGCAACCTTGTCATCCTTGGACGTTAACTTCGATGTATCGCGTGCAGCTTCAAGAAACGTTTTCATGTGGAACTGATAGAAGACAAGCGCGTTCTCGCAGGAATACGACGCCGAACCTCCAGCAAGGCCAGCGTACCGCGCGGCATCTCGCTTGATGAGCCATTGAGCCATTTGTTCCACTTCTGCCAGCAATGCTGCTCTCCGCTCTAACAGGAATGCCACACGACCGTCGTGACTGAAATCCGCGTGGAAAGCGCCCTCACTTTCCTTTCCGCCCGCACCACCTTCATTTGCAAGCTGCGGTTGCCCCATTCGCACGCGACTTTGCTCATTGACAACATGTAGAGCCAAAATCCTGGCAAAAAAGTCGTTCAGTGCTTGATTCGAGTGAGCGACAACTAGTATCTTCTCTCGTGCTGGGGTTGTGCGGTACAGGTTCAATACGAGCTGCACAGCCACATCAGTTTTACCTGTACCTGGCGGGCCTACGACCAATGTGAGGCCTTCACATTGCCCCGTTCGGACGGCAGCCACTTGCGTCTTGGTGTAGCGAATTGGAGAAGAAACGACTGGAGATGCAGCGGATAAACTCTTCTTGTGATACGCGCGAATAAAGCTAGTCCCTTCACACACGTCCTCGACGTAAGTAAATGGAGCAATTGCTTCCTTCATATTCAGTTCCTGAGTTTCATCATCGGCATTCACAAGCTTTTCAGCACCACCAGCTTCAAGTGCGTGCTCTCCATCGAGAAGCAGTTCACCCATTGGTACCACTAGTTGCTTTTCAGCTCTCACCTTGTAGATCGACTTGTGCAACGCAGCCGCTGGATCTCCGTATCCCAAGAAGAGATCGTGCAGCCAATCTGGCAGTAGCTCTTCCTTGTTAGCGTCATGCCACGCTCTAGCGACTGTGTCCAGTACAGCCTTGAAGTTATTCTCGCGCTGCTTCCGTCGAACTAATAGATTCACTTGTTCATATGCGTCAAGGTGGCCAGATTCCAGATCGCTCATGTACTGCACGCCGTCCAACGCAAGTTTGAAGACTCGTTTGGTACCTTTACCCACGGGGTTTTCGTCGTTAATCGCATTGCCCGCTGTGTCCGTAACCTCCATGATCTCTCCTGCTCGCACATAATGTATACCAAAGTTTACAGGAAATGACCCCGTCTCCTTTGACTGTTGCTGGAAGCCCATTATTTCAGCACCTTCATCAGCCGTTGCTCGAACTGTCACAAGGAACACCACCTCCTTCGTTTGGTAACAATCGAACTGCTTGCGGTCGTGGCAACCAGTGAGTTCCACGTCGAATTGTGCAACAACGGAAGCAGGAGCAGTTTGTCCCAGCACCGGTTTACCCACTTTCACAATCTGAAGCGGACTCGTCAGCGGTACAGCAGAGCGAGAAAACCCACGAAAAATGGTATTGTTTTCGCTAGACGAAAGTAGAGCACGCACAGCGTCAAGTTGCTTGATAGCAGTCTCAAGATCTTTGCGGATATGTTGCGCAGCTTCAAATCGAAGCAGCTCGTAGTTGCGTTGGAGATGGTCCGCCAGATTCAGATACTGCAAACCCAATTTGCGCAAAGGTAGTATCGGAAACAGGTTGCTTTCGTCGGCACTGTAAACGTCTCTTGTTGTCTGGCCCGCTCCTTCCATTGACTCGTCACTTTCCGACGTTTTAAAATTCGGCGCAGACTTAACCTCGCGGTTCAGCATTCCATTCCAAATGTCCAACTCTGTAGGGAACACTGCCACGTTGAACGATAGAGAGTCGGTGCCATTAGTACTGTCAACCGAGTATTCTTCCTTGAAAAACTCAATCAAGTCAGCGTCGGAGATTGAGTCAGCCTCCGCTTGATCAGCCAGCACACCCACAGCGATAGCCAATGCCGACAGCCGCGAACTATCAGCAGCTGCTATAGCTTTCAGCGTCTCTGCGAAGCTGGAAGCGTCCGCAATATGACCACATGGAGCGATGGCTAATTCTTCCACACAAGAGTTCCTGAAGAACGCAAATGCACACTGCTGCAACGCCTGGATGTGAAGAGCAAGCTGCTCTCGTTGCTCCCGCGAAGGTATCGACGCACCAGTTTGTGCATCAATAGGAAACTGCATGCATGCATCTAATAGCACCAACTGCTTGCTGAGAGAGTGTCTGTCGTTGAGACTCTGCCATTGCAGTGCGTGTTGCACTAATGCACTGTTTCTAAGCACCGTGCGCACGTGACGACGCCTTAATACTGTCAACAGAAAACGACGTGTGGGCAGCTGGCTCAAGAGATCGATCAGCAACCCCAGAAACACTGCCACAAAGCGCAGTCTTTGGGCAATTTCGTGCTTTGATACGTCATCGTCGACTGGAGCCTTCAGCACCTGGAAAAACGCATCAAGTCGATACACCAGCGCAGTTTGCTCGTGGTGCGGGGTCTCCGCGGTCGCCTCGAGTTTGCGTCGCTTGTTCTTTTTGGGCGCCTTCTTGTCCTCTGTCTTGGTAAAAGTATTCTCTGCCATTATGCGCTTCCAGCGTACCTCCAGCTTCGGGTACGTCTGGAACTCGAGGGCGCGCTGGGTTGGTGACATCGCTGTCCAAAGCGGGAGCGACGTCATCTGCAACACGGAGGCCGCCACCTGCGGCACATCAAGGCTCTGGAAGCTCGTGATGAGGAACTGGATTAGCGCTGTTTGCTCCTTAAGTGTCCACTTGGCGGCGTCGTCTCCGGCTTCAGTGTCTGCCAAAGCCGTCCACAATGTCGTCGTGAACGTCGTCAAAGCCGCGCCCTCTTCCTTAAGAAACGTCCATATCCCACTAGAGCGGTCCCCAGAAGACAGCACGTCTCCCTCGCGTGCGCGGAAACACACGAGAAGCAGCACAGAGACTATCCACGCTTTCTTTACGTGATGGCGACAGTCGTGTACGGAGGACACAGCGTCCGCTAGTGGCCACAAAGCGCCCTCCAAGAAATTCATAGCGTCCAGTTCTCGGAGACACGTAAGCGTTCTCTCGTCATCGCTTGATTCACCCAGAAACTCAACGTAAAGCTTCGCGACCGCGTCCAGAGACTGCAAAGCAAACAGCAAAACATTAACAAGCAGCGTTAGAGAGCGAAATCAAAGATGTATGATGCGTAGCCGCGCACTTCTTTCGACGAGTTTCGCTCTAGTATCTTCGTTGCGAGGTCGTAGACCGTAAGGGTGGAACTGACAGCCCCTGTAGGCGCCGACGAAGCTGCTCGACGAGACATTTTGCAAGGATTGGCGAGGGCAATTTATTTTAGTTCAAATCCCTAAAAATAAACTTCGAAGTACTTTTTAAGCTCTACAGTAGTTCAAAATCCCTAAAAAGTTTTTTTGACATTCGTTTGTATTTACAGTACATGATTAAAAAAACCTGTGCTTCTTAGAAAATGTTTTCTCTAAAAAATGTTTTTACATTCGCCAAATTTTCAAATTTCATCAGAAAGACCCAAAAATAATACAGTACTACACCGGTTTCGCGCCCTTGGACCTTTGATAAACTTCTAGATGCGATGAAACTGAATCCAAATGAACATAAGTTTGTAAGCTAACATCTGATTTATTCCTAAACTCTATATGTTCCACCCCCGCTAAATAGGGTGTAGTACTGTACCGTGTACGCAACTTCCCTTTAGTACAAAGTGCAAGCAGTGCCCTTGCAACCGACAGTCACTGCGTAGAGACCACGCTGCGCGATTCGCGCGTCTCTCTGCCCTTAGTCTCTTGATCGCAGTTCGTTTCCCGTCCCTGACGCGCTACAACGTGCAGCTCTTCTCCTGACAATCACCATGCTTCCTGCTACCCCAGAGGCTTTTCACGCGCCACCAGCAAGTGCATCGTCGATTCAGGCTACTGGTGAATCTAGCCGCGACTTGCAGATCACGGGTGTAACCCGAAAGAACACCAGCTGGCAATACCACATCGAGGTGCTGGACGTGCGCGCCTCGAGCTTTACCAGCGGCAACTCCGGCGCTTTAGCACGGGATCTGAATGTGCAGAACAGCAGCAGCGAGGCTGTAGAGGCCGCTGTAACAGAGGATCAGAACGTTGTGTACCCAGATCTGCCACACTTGGTTCGCTACACGGTCATGAGGCGGTACACGGACTTCCGCCATCTCTACAACTACTTAGTGGAGACGCACGGGTCTGCGCTGCGCGATGCATTACCCAAATTTCCAGACGGAGGGTGGATCTCTTATCTACGAGGAGATGACCCAAGACTGCTCCATCACAGACGCGAGATGCTTCAGCGCTTCCTCAGAGCGCTTGACGCTCGCCAGGAGCTGCGCTGGTGTGCAGCTTTCACGACATTTCTGCGTTCAGATCTCGAGGATCTCGCGTCTATCGGCTCGAGTGCCTCCTTGCCTTCATTTGCCAGCAACCCTTCATTTGCTGCCTCAAGCAGCAGTAGCAGTGATATGGACTTGCGTCCTCCCCCGCCCCCGCCACTATCTGCTCCGTCGTCACTCCCACCACGTCATTGTCTGAGTTTTGACGCTTGTGCGGCGCCACCCGTGAGTTCATCTGGTGGTTATGTATCGCTGTCGCAGCTCAAGTCTCCTGAGATCCGTTTCCGCAAGAAAATGGTATCTGGAGGAGCCGACTCTCGTTGCGACGTGAAACGCAGACGGTTGCATCTTTACAGTCAAGACGCTGACGACATGGACATTGAGCAGCGAAAACCCTCAGCCAAGAAGCAACTGGCAATGGCTCTAAGCGGTGCACTGGGCTTTAAAGGTTTCGTTGTTGGAGTCGGCAGCGGTGTCATCGGGACGTTTGGCCGAATGGGTGGCGAGCGGTCGTACTCAATAGATACTGCCGAGTACCATGACGATAGTGACAGTGATACGGACGAGGACGGAGAGTTGAGTGAAGGTACGCGTGGCCGCAACATTGACTTGCTCAAGATGCTGTCAGGTGGAGGAAGTCAATCCGTGCAGCATTGAATGTAGACGTATTGTATGGATGAACGTGCCGCACGAGTACGTGTATTAGATCGTGCATGAATATGATACAGGATTAATATTTAGCAGATCTTGAAGTGGTGGAGCTGGTATGGGTTCTCAAGCCCACCCAATACTACAGTGGTCCGAACGTTCCTTTTCTGGTTGTGACTGCTTGGCCAAGAAAACAGAAAGCAAATTGTCTCCGACGCAGAGAAACAAAGTACATGAGCATTAAAAAAGGAAAAGGGTTGAGCAATTAACGAGCTCTATGCGCGATATACAGCCTTAGTATAACGTATCGTACTCAGACCAGCCCATGCTGTGAAGACTGCCCGTGGACGGAGCGCCACGCAGCAGTGGCTTAAGCTCGCAGCGATGACGCTCGAGATGCGGCAGCAACATTCGTGCCTTCTGGCCTGATGCCAGCTTGATGTAGATAGCGTCGTCCGTGATGGACGAAATTGCGCCCGTATACTCTTCATTCATGAGCGGCATCGAAGCATGCACTTCGTCTCCATCCTCGAACACGTACTTACCACAAAAGAGCCGCCGTCGCTCGAGCTTGAATGGCACTGCAACAAAAATGCAGCAAAGTGTTAGCACACCTCACAAAAGCAATAAACAGCAAAAGCACACAGATCTTACGGTTTCCGTGGTTTACCAACAGCTCGACTGATGCTTGCGCTGTCTTCTTGTGGTCGCCCACGATAGCTGCAATATCGGAACTGACCTGATCAAACGGCAAGCGTACCGCCTCTACCGGTAGTAACTTCGATATCTCAACGGGTTCTCCGATTGTTGTTGAGTCCATTTTGCGTCGCTTGACCGGAGGCACTTCTTTTTTTGTCGTGGCAGGTGATTCGGGCACTTCACCCTCCTCCTGTTCAGGTTCGCTAATCTTCTTGTCCCCATCAGTCTTCTCCTTGACAGCCGCAACGTACAACGAAGGTTTGTCAACTTCGTCCACTTGCGGCTTCGGTTTGGCTTTCCTCCCGATGTTTGCAATCTCCGCTCCGGGCTCGGCCAGAGTCTTCATCTCCGCCTGGAGCTTGGCCATGACTGCATCCACCTTGGCCAGTAGCTCTTCCTTGAGCTCTTTCCTGTCGTTCTCCCACAGATGATGGGCGCGCTGCACCTCAAACTTGTACAGATCCTGTCCATTCTTTAGTTGCAGATTTTTATGTAGCTCAGCCGTCTGCAGCAGGCGGTTGCGCTCCTCCTTGAAGGCAGCTACGCGGCGGCAGAACTCAGCCAGTGTGCCATCCTCCACCATTTTCTTCTTTTGCTCTAGCTCGGTCATTTGCTGGTCGACGTGGACCACGGCGTTGTTCCTCTGTGAGGGGGCTCTGACGTCATGGAGGACCCCGATGTAGATGATGCGTTGGACACATTGGATAGTGAACGCTGACGTCGTTCGCAAATCCTCTTCCTTGTATGCGTCCGCTATCCCTCATCGACTTTCATCCCCGGACTGAGATGAGAGTCGGTTCGCGGAGACCCTGCATGGGCTTTGCCCGACCACATCCACGGGCTTACGCGCTAAAACCCCGGCGGCCTTG